TTCCCTGAACTTTATAGGACTTCCTAAAGTTTCCTTAATGTTTCTAATGATCACGAATCTCTTCTAAAGGTTTAGCAATTCGCTGAAGTTCTCTAAACTTCTTTAAACTTTATGTGACTTCTCAAAGGTTAATGGAACTGCTCGGAGGTTCTCTGTTCTTTTCTGAAATTCTCAAAACTGCTCTAACGTTTTTGCAAATCTCATGAAGCGCTGAATTTAATTGAAAATGTTTAAGCTTCAGTGAACCTCTGAATTTATGCGAAGGCCTCAATTAATTTTTTTACGTCTCGGAAGGTATCTGAAAATCTGGGAACTGCTTTGAATTTCCCACTAATTTTCTGAAACTAATGGAACTGACCTCTCCCTGAAATTCCTCCAATTGTTGGAGCTTACTAAACTTCTTTCAAATGCTCCCGCATTTAGCTAATGTTCATAAAAATTCCTGAAGTTCGCGGTTCTCCCCTTAAGCTCCATAGATTTGTATGAAGTTCTCGAAATGTTTTTGAAGAACACTATCCTGCCCTTAATCGCAAGTCAGTCCCATCTGTAATAAACTGGAAATGAGAAAACGGCGTTCAAAGATTTTACAAGTTTTCTAATTTGACACTTATTTTGGAGGGATAAATTTAAAAATAAACGTACAATGTGATAGAATGCATCTATGTTTACCATAAAATATTGAAAAAAATATCGTGAAATTTTTATTTTATGGCCAAAATCTGAATGGGACTGACTTGCGATTACATTTAACGTCAATGAGAAAAATAACCGCAAGTCAGTCACAATTCCATGACGATGCTGCATTAGTTTAGTACAGCATTGAACAGTAGAAAGATACCATGGTCCCATAGAACGTCATTGAATGTTTCTGGGTTTGGTTTGCTGGTTCCAGAGCGTTTGTTTCCGGTGAGCGTTTGTTTCCGGTGAGTATGGGTCTTCATCAGACCAGAGCTTTTCATAAACGTGCCAAACCCACCATGCGATAAATCAATGGATTATTCACATAATTCACATGAGAATTCAAAAATAAGATCGATAAGAGTCATGTTGGCACCATGTTGGCCAAATCCGGACATGTTCCGGGTATCCCCGGGGAAGTGGTATATCCTTTTCAAATCAAAATCCATCAAGCGATATATCAAATCACGTGAGAATTCAAAGCCATCCATTGGCGGTCAAACTGAGTATCGTAACAACTATATTGGCCACATCAGGACATGTTCCAGATACCCTAGGGGAAGTGGACAAAGTCTGTCTTGAGACAAATCTCATAATGCGATGTGTTGTCTAACATTTCTAACATATTTTTTTCTAATGGGACTGACTTGCGGTTACTTTTCAGTGTGGGACAATTTGACTTGGTATTGTTTTTCATTTTTCTTGAACAAACCACCTTTTTTCAAAAGCACATCTCAAAAAACATAGAAAGATAAACTGAATAATGATGCTAACTCAAAATTGATTAAAATGCAGATGGGACTGACTTGCGATTACCGGCAGTATCCTTGTGTGAAGTTTTCAAAGTTTTTCTAAATTTCTGGAACTTTTTTGCTTTCGCCATTTTCATGGAATTAGAACAATATAATTAATATAGTTTTACGGTTATCACTGAAGTTCATGAAACTTCCATTAAATTATCGACACTTATTTGAAACTTCTTCAATAGTCTAGAAGTTCCTGGTGCTATTGAAACTACTTAAACGATTATTGAATTTCCTTACAGTTCTCTAGACAGCCCTGAATTGATCAGTATATTTTAAGAACCCGCACATTTTATGAAATTAATTGATTTGCCTTGAAGTTTCAACTATTTTCCTTAAGTATTCTAACTATTAAAAACGCTCTCTTATTTTCCCTGAACTTATCTATGTTAACCTGAAGTTCTTTAAATTTGTTTAATAATCCGGCAAATATTCTGATATATATATTTAAAATTCAATGACAATTTTGGATCAATCCTAGAATTTTTCGAATAACCCATAATTCAACGGAATTTATTGTAAGTTAATGGGATTACTCTGAAGCTATCTGATGGTCCTCGAAGTACTCGGAACTTCGCAGATTATTATGAAACTATCTAAATTCTAAGTACTCTGGAATTTCTTGAAGATAATTATCGCTGCTTGCTTAAATTTCTTGCATTTTTTTTTAATTAATGGAACTTCGTTGATATTATTTAATCAACAAAGCTAAATTTTTCCATTTTTTAAAGTTCTTAAAAATCTTTATGATATAACACACTTAATAAACTCTCACGTTTTCCGGATGTTCATATAATTTTTATCACGTTCCAAAAGCTCTATTGCAGCTTTGCTGAAGTTTCCGAAACTTGTTAAAGGTTTCTACCATTTTCTTGAAATTATTGTCTTGAGCTCTCAATTCGATTGAAGATAAATGTCCCTGAAATTTGTTGGACTTCTGTGAAGTTCCTGAAATATTTCTGAAGTTTTCATAAATTATTTGATGGTCTCTGTACTTCCCTGAAATTTTCAGAACATCTAAAGGGCATGCTCGACATGCACAGTTGTACACACCAACTGCTCATTTGTTAATAACTTTTCACTCAGTTGTTGAAATTCGTTTTTCTTTAAAGTTATTGATAGATTAGGATCATAGTTCAGTATAGATATGCAAAGAGTAGGTAAATCTTAACATTTGAATCATCACCAATAATTTTTTGCACTTAAAGTCCGAGATGTGCAGCGAGCATTTCTCACTTAATTTTTGCAACGCAAAAACAAATACAGTTTATCACTAGAATTAAAATCTACTTTTTTTTTTCACGTATCTATAGCAAGCTTAAACTCTATTCTATTGACTGCTTCAAATAGAACTATGTTTCGTCAACTGTGTGCAATGTTATAAGCAAATGAGCAGTTCGTGACCAAAACGATGTATGCCAAGCACGCTTGAGGGTTCTCAAATTTTCTAAATTTACGATTATAGATATTTAAACTGCTCCAAAAAGTCTGAACTAAAGTCATGGGAACTGCTCTTAAGATCTGAAATCCCCCAAAGATCTCTAGATCTAGCTTTTCTGAGGTGCTTAGAACTTAAAAATTTCCACAATACCCCTCAAGGTTTGTATATTTCTCAAATTTGCTTAACACCTGTGATGTGCTCTGAAATTCTAGGAACTTCATTAAAGTTCCTGAAAATATTCGGATGTTAAAAGAACCGATTTGAAGTTCTTAAAGCTTCCAAAGCTTCCCCATAATTTCAGTGTGTTAACTTCGCAGTTTGTTTATGGCGCTTCACTAAATTTCTAAGCATTTCCTTTCATTCCTCAGAACTTCTTCAAAATTCCTACAATTGCTGTGAAGTTAATGGGACTGCAATGAAGATCTCTGATTTTTCATTAAGTTAATTGCGAACTTGAAGTAAATCATTTAATGTTTTCCTTTATTCAGGCACTTTTAAAATTTTCAATATCTTGAACTTGTACATAGAATACGAAACTACAAGACATTGGATATTTTTAGATCTTGGACTTACCTACATAAGGGAAGGTTTTTTTTTTTAACTTTATTAGAGTGAGAAAACAAGTAAGTGCTAAACTACAACATTCAATAGATTTGATAATAAAGTTGTTTATTTAAAACTGATTGCCATGTCTTAAAAACGTTTGGGTTAGTTATTGTTGGCATTTTAAAAATAGCTTTCTTATTATAAGCCTTAAATTTATCCGTTAAAGTTCTGGAAAAACCTGGAACACTCAAGAAAATTTTATTTAGAAAAAAGAGTAGACACCCTTCTAGATAGAGAAAGGCGATTTATCGTCACAAAGCAAATAATGATCAATCTTGAAATAAATTCACGCTAAAAAAAAGTTGAAAATAGTGACGTATTAGAAGAAAAAGTGATTTTAGTTACTTGACCTTAAAAAAAAGAGACTTTTTAGTGACTGGCTTGAAAAAAGTGACCAAGTCACTAAAAAGTGACTCACTACCAGCCCTGCTTATGTCATCGTTCAGAATTAGCACACATCCCAAGTAACCACCAAGCCATTAATATGGCCCCGACATCGATGCAAAGGGCATCCTTAAAATGCTGTTAGGTTTTAATTTATGTTGAACTTTAAATGGTAGGCGATGGAAAAAGATTTACAAGTTGACTTTAACATTTAAATTTTAGATAACTGTTAAACCTATATCATGTACCACTTTAATGCATGCCAAATTAAAGGAAGTAATATTGTAACATTCTGTACATTGTTGTCGAAACACGTATTGGTCATGGATACCAAAATTAATTAAGTGTTAATAAATGAGGATAACCTCTTTTGCTGTTTGTGAGCATTCCACTAATTTCATTACTTCATTAAAATGCTGATTTATCGATAGAGTCTATCAAATAAATCGTAATATGATTTCCAAGCATTATAGTTCTGCGTATCTCAGTTTAGTATCCATCATCAACACAATAAATTCTCTATGAATAAACTTCAAAGTCCTCTAATCGTTGGCACAAACAGAATTCGAATGCTTCAAAATACCATACGATAACTGTATGACATAACATTCGTACACACTTGAAAATAACTACTTTTACACGAGACGCAATCCATATTGGACGTAAATTATAAAACGTAAACAAACATTAAATGTAAAATTAAGTTTTCTCAAACCGAAACATCAGCAACTCGACGAAGAGAACACGTTTGATTGAGTTGATTTTCTCGTTTATTTTAACTGATTCTTATGCCAAAAGGCCCGTTTACATGTGTCGATTTCAAGGAACATAAATTTACATGAGTTTTTCGTAGTATGTAGGAAATTCATAATTCCCACCACAGGACGCCCCTCGTAGTAAACAGCCCCAAACACGCCCCTGATTGTGAAAGAAAGAGTAATCTTCTTTTGAAATTTCTTCTTCACGGTCCAAAATGCTGGAGACGAATATAGGTACCTACTGCTGCCGCCAACACCACCGTAGATGATGAAGGTGAAAAACTAAAAACAAAAGGCTGTAAGACGACGATGGAGAAAAAAAACAAAAACTAACCTCACTTCAGCACGAAATTTATCCGCGTCTGTCAGCTGTCAAAATACTCGCTCCGAAAATTTGATCGAAAGCAGGGCTCGTGTTACCCAGCACCAGGGCCAGGGCCTCCACAGCAACAGCCAAACAGCAGATGATGTTGATGATGGGCTGACGCTACATAGATCTTCACCGAGGAGGTCGTGCGTGTGGCATCGAGATTCTTCTTATCCACCTCGCTCCACCCGACCCGAGACACGACTCGAAACGATACTACGAAGAACTGACCGTTCCGTTTCTGTGTGTCGTCGTCGTCGTCTGACAGCTTCCAGCGCTTTTCTTCGCTTTTGTTTATGTTTGGAATTTGATTTCTTCTCCCTCACGATATATACGTTGGATTTGGATCACTTCAAATTTTGGGGGCCGAATCTTAATCTCAATTTAATTTGGTTTGATTTTTTTTTTGGCCAAATGCTCCACCCAGTCGGGAGAAAAGAATTTCGGGAACATACACCGATTTCCTTCGCGGAATTAGCATCAACAAGAACAACACCAACAACAACAACAACGGTAACAACGACAGCTGGGTGGGCTTACAAATAATTCATTCGCACAAACACTTGTTCCAATAAATCATCGAGCTAAATCGACCCTCCTTGCCTTGTTCCGGGGGGATTGTGTTCCTTTTTTTTGGCGAGTTTCGCGAGCCCTATAACCAGCACCGTTTTCACGATTCCTTTTTTTTCATTTGCTTGCAAGGGCATATATTTTCATCTTGTTTCGCCTATTTCTCTCCGATTGTGTTATTACATCAGGCGCCTGAATTTATGTGAAGTTTTTCTTTTTGTTTTTTTTTAGATTTGTTTCGTGTTTATATGTTTTGCTTAAAACACCCACTTTTGCTTATGAAATCGCAATTTGCGAGGAATAAATCAAAGAAATGTTTTCCTCCAACACCTTCTTCACTTCCGAGCGACCCAAAAACCCTTCACAAGCAGGTTTACGCTACTCTGCTTAGCATCGCACTCACACCACTCCAAGTAACATAATATGAGCCACACTACCGAAACGACTCGCACGGCCAGCAACAGCAACAGCAACAACAACAACACGACTCGCGAAGTTCAGCGGAACAACACGGCGAGAAGGATGCTGCTGTCCCGACTGATGTAACAACCTCTTCTCTTGGGCTATCGAAAATCGGAGCCACTTGCACCGGAAGGAGTCCCTTGAATCGATAACGGTTGATCTTTATTGGGCCAGGTCTGGACCGCCCATGGGCAGCGAACACTGATAACGATACCGGAAAGGATGTTTCACATAATTTGCCAATTCATGTCCGGCTGGGACGATCCCAAAAGCCTTTATCCTCGCAAGCAGTCAAATACCCTTTTTCCAACTTCGGTACCAACTTTAAACAACACACCCGAGCGGCGAACACCCAGTTCCAGTTCGGTGCTGGGAAAAATCCAACTCCCCGAGAAAATATACTTGCAGCAGGAAAAGCTCTCGCCCGCGAAAAATCGGCCGCGCGATCCGGTTCCTTGATACGAAAAACCAGCTTTTTACGACTTGCTTTCACCGAAGCCACGACGTTACTAAATTTTCCCTTCTGTAAAATCCCCTCAGCTGGTTTGTGCTGCTTGTGCTAATGTTCTATGCTGGCCCTCGAGACGGCAGCGATGTAAAAGAAGTTAACTGCGAGCGTGCAGAACGTCGTCCTGCGAGCGTTCCGCTCGCTCTCCGCGGGTTTTTCGCGTGCGAGAAACTCTCCTGCGATCGAAGCGCGCATGTCCGCTCCGATCTGCCATCATTCTCCCGCAAGGTGGCGGTTTTTCCAACCGTTTCGTTCAAAGTCCCAACATGAAATGGACTCCCATGCTCCGACTGAATGGGTTTATGCCATACTGTGCCTCCCCTCGATGTTCGTTTTATGGCAAGTCACCCGTTCGGAGCCGATCGCACCAACATATTCACTCTATTCCTTCATTCCATGGCTTCCCCTGCGACTGTAGCATGTTCCCCTTCGGCTACGGAGGGGAAGTTCGTGTGTTGAGGGGAAAATCATGCTTGGTTGTTTTGGTTTAGCAGCTCCGCTTACAATGTTGTAGGGTCCGCGAACGGAGGTGCATGGTGCAACTGCACTGCACTGGTTTGGTGGTTGCTTGCTATACCCGCTTACATAGGTGCACCACGATGATGCTTCGCAATTAGGTGACTGGGTGTTACGTATCATGTTATGCTATAGCGAGCGCGCTACACGTCCGTGTCGATCTGGAAACGTGTGGGTTGTATCACACACGACGGAGAGTCATCACAGTGTTGCGGCGCTGATTGTGGCTAGATTGAGTTGTGCGATACCTGCGGGGAAGCTGGTGTATTGGGTGGTGCTGGTCGAAGATGCGGAAGCTGATGGGTAGACCCGTGACTTAAACTTGTTTTTATCGGGAATAAAAGCATTTTCTAACTTATCATACGACTTCGGAAAGCCTTCAGATGAGCTGAAATTGCGATAAGCTGAGGGTGTTTTGAGGCGATCTGAGTTAAGTTTCGCTTCCATTTCCACACACGCTATTTGCTACTGCTGTTGCTATTCGGATTGCTGTTTTTGTCAACTTTGGTAGTTGCTATTTTAGCTAGCAACTAGTTTACACACCGGCCGTTGCTATCAAGGTGAAAGTACAGCATTCCCCCGAAGAACGCGCTACCCACTGAGTTCTAACCACCGCTTTTTCTCGGTGGGTTTTCAACCAATCGTTCCAATTTTCTGTGATTAACTATTGACACTTCTCACATGAAAATGAGGAATTATCTTAGACTTGGACTAACTTTCATAGAACAATACAACACAATTATTCACAGGGCAAATAACAATTGTTATGACTTTCAGAACCCATACAAAATTAAAACACTATATATTGCCTATGTGAGGTCAATTCTGGAATATTGTAGCATTGTATGGTCTTAGATGTCCGTAATAAAAAACTTTTATCAAGATTCAAGGGTGTTTATAATTTTCAAAGTTCCAAAATTGCGAAAGTTTTGATGATTTCAAACATAGGTTTTTTGACGTAGAACTACGTCTTTGTCGACTATACTGGGGTGCAAATCAAAAAAATATGTGTGTTGAAATAGTGTTAGGTTTTGAACGCTTGTAACTTTGTCATTTATAAATGAAATTAAAATCCAAATACGCCAATCGATAGGATATTACATTACAAACCTGCTGAAATAAATATTTTTCCAATTTCCCGTAATAAAACTTTTGAAAAATGTACAAATGATAATTTTATCACTGTTTTCATGAAATAAGCGTTTTCCCCAAACCCAGTCATCATAATCGAGTACCACTTGGTTGCACATCGTTCTGAAAAATATAAAACAGCGCTGCTGCCGCGCTTCTGCGACATCGGTGATTTCGGCGACGCCATCGACAATGAAAATTCTGCCGGCCCGAGTACGGCAAAAGCGAAGCTACCTCCATTGGTAGTGAAAAATGCCCATCTTAATGAGCTCATCGCGGATCTAGCGACGCTGGGCGTTAAAGCCGAATACAAGTTGGGCAGAGTCGGCATCAAGGTGGTGCTCCGTACCAAAGCGGAGTATGACTTGGTCGTCGCCCACCTGAGGACTTCCAAGGTGGATTTATTCACCCACGACATTCCCGGTGAGAAGCCATTCAAGGTCGTCATCAGGGGCCTACCAAACTTCAACCCGAAGTTTATCGAAGCTGAAATCAGGGGCCGGTACAAGCTGGCCCCAAAAGCCGTCTATCGAATGACAAGGAAGGACGAAAATGTGAAAGCGTATCCGGATAGCCTTTTCCTGCTACACTTCCAGAAGGGAACGGTGACGCTCAACGCGCTAAAAGCCATCCGCTCCATCAATTCCAGCATCGTCCGCTGGGAGCATACCGTGGCGGCCATCGTGATGTGACTCAGTGCCAACGGTGTCTGAACTTCGGACACGGCACCCGCAACTGCAACATTAAGCCACGCTGTGGCAACTGCGCTCAAGACCACGCCACTTCCGACAGCTGTGGCGTTAAAATGCGCCAACTGCGGTGGTGCTCACCAAGGATCCAACAAGCAGTGCCCTAAACGCGAGGATGTCAAGCGCATCCGAAATCAGGCGTCCACCAAAAATTAACCAGCACGAAAGAAGGATAAGGCCCCGGCTTTCAGGGCGGAGGACTTTCCGCCTCTTCATAGATAAGCGAATCCAAGGGCGCGAACCCCCCCCCCCCCTCAAGAAACATCTGGATCTTCTGCTGGACAAAGCTCTCCATCCCCCCTGGATTCTGGAGACAACCAACAGCTCAACCAAATAATCCCGATCTGTTCACAGCGGATGAATTGATGGAGATTTTCATCAACATGACCGGTGCTCTACGTAAGTGCCGCAATAAGCCCGAACAGATCCAAGTGCTCGGTAAGTTCATCATCCAGTATGGTGTCTAAACCGCTAACCATCGCTACCTGGAACGCTTGCTCTGTAAGAGCAAAACAGATTGAGCTTGGCGACTTCCTCCGCAAGCATAGGATCGACGTGGTTCTTCTAACCTAGACCCACCTAAAGTCCGGTGACAGCTTCTGGTTGCCTGACCACAACATTATCCGGCTTGATCGCACCAGTTCCAGGGGGGGGGGGGGTGGTGTTGCGGTCATCGCCAGAAAGGGAATCAATTTTGCATTCTGCCCCACATCCGCACTTCTATCATCGAGGCCGTTAGTGTGGAGGTGGAATCACCAACTGGAAACGTCCGGTTTATCGCTGTTTACTACTACTCTCCGGCGGAAAAATCCCTCCACCCTGGACTTTTTCCTGTCAAACATCGGACTATCCAGGCGCACAACGATCTCAGCTCCGACCACCAACCGGTGGTGACTGAAATTGGTGTCAACGTGGTTGCTGCTAGAAGCTGCCTGCGTAAAGACTACCACCATGTCAACTGGGTGCAGTACGGTCGAATGGTGGACAGCAACATCAATCAAAATCCACCGCTCGACACCGTAAATGACATCGACCGGACGTTGGAAAGACTCCAACAGGCCATATCCATGGCTGACGAGGCATACGTTCGACAAGTTCCTGTGAGGGGTAAGTTTGTTGCTATTGATTCCCACACCCAATTACTGATTCGGTTGAGAAATATTCGTAGACGCCAGTTTCAGAGGACTGGAGATCTGGGCAAAAAACGTGAAATGGCCGATCTGAACAGGCAGATTGCTTCCAGAATGGACTCACTCCAAAATGAAAGTTTCGGGCGTGTTGTTCAGAATCTGGACGACCGCTCCAGACCATTCTGGAAGGTAACCAAGGTCCTGAAAACTCATCCCAAACCCGTTCCACCTCTCAGAGTCGAAAATGATGACGATCGGCTTTTAATCACCCCACAGGAGAAAGCAAATGCGATCGGCAAGCGTGTCGCTTCATCACATTTGCTTGGCTCGACTATCCAAAGTCCGCTCGATGATCAGGCTGCCCAATGCGTTCAAAACCTAGATGCCTCCCCTTGTGTCGTGCCTCCGGCGGATATGATTACAGTACAACAGATTTGCTCAGCGCTGAAATGCACCAAGAACATGAAGGCTCCCGGGTTTGACGGTATATTCAATCTGATCTTGAAGAGACTCAGCATGAAAGTGCAATCTCTTCTAACCGCTATCTTCAACAGATGCTTGGAACTGTACTTTTTTCCAAGCATCTGGAAAGTAGCAAAAATCATACCAATCCACAAGCCCGGTAAGGATCCAACATTGCCTTCAAGCTACAGACCAATCAGCCTCCTTTCAGCGCTGAGCAAATTGTTCGAGAAACTCATTCTCAATCGTTTGCACAAGTTTGTCGAGGAAAATAACATTCTCCTTCCGAAACAGTTTGGATACAGCTAGCACGGGTGATGAATAACATCCAAAGTAACAAAGCTGTATCCAATTCCACAGCCATGGCCTTGTTAGACGTTGAAAAGGCGTTTGACAATGTTTGGCATGACGGACTTGTGTACAAGCTTTGTAACTTCAACTTCCCATTACATCTGGTTAAAATCACCCGTAACTACCTTGAGCAAAGGTCGTTTAAATTATCGTTGAATGGTTGTCTTTCAGACCCGTTTTCCATCTCAGCAGGAGTCCCGCAAGGCAGTCTGCTGGGCCCCTTGCTTTACAGCATTTACACTTCCGACATTCCTCTCCTTGGAGACGGTTGCGTGTTTTTCCTGTTCGCAGATGATGTCGCAATAGCCGTCAAAGGAAGGATGCCTCGCGAACTTCAACGATGCCTTAACGCCTTTGCTGATTATTCCAGCACGTGGAAAATCAAAATCATGCCTCCATAACACAAGCGATCATGTTCCTCCATCGGCAATCGCCCAAACTGAAACTGGCTCCATCTTGTATTGTAATCATGGATGGCACAAGCGATGAGTGGTCTGCCGAAGTAACCTATCTTGGGATGTTGTTCGATGAAAAGCTCCTCTTCCGTGCGCATGTAGAGAAAACTGTAGTCAAGTGTTCTACCTTGGTTAGGTGTCTGCATCCGCTGATTTGCCGCAGATCCCGCCTCTCAAGGGTGAACAAACT